GACTGGAGCCTTCTTAACATATTCATATCCCAAAGCAACAACACCTAGGAGTTGCAATAACTTTAGGTAGGATTAGCCGTCCGGAAACCATGTGCCGCTGAACAGCAAACAACCGTGGGGACGATCCAGCCTGACCGTCTTAGATTTCAATGAAAAGATTAGGCTGGCATGCATTTAAACCGCTGGGTTCAGAGGTGGAGGTGAAAAGGTCTGTCTCTTTCTGCCCAGAAGACAAGACGGAAATAAAGCTTCAGCTTCCAGTTTTACACCTGAGGTCGCTGACCTTCTCCATTTTAATCCCCCCCCCCCCAATCTCAGGCTTCAGCAAAGAAAGTAAAAACACACCAGGAAAGAAAGAAAGAAAGAAAGAAAGAAAGAAAGAAAGAAAGAAAGAAAGAAAGAAAGAAAGGAAAACTCCTGTTATGAAGGTTGGCTCCTTTCATGGGCAGCTCTTAGATAACATCCCAGCCATCAACCCCACCTTGTCCTTCCCAGAACTTCCACATCTCACCCACTTGCTCAGGAGAAGAGAAAAGGACCTTCTACCCCAGGCCAGTCCCACTGCTGAGATCATGAAAGGGGAAAGGAGGGGAGCAGAGAGAAACCGGGGACCTCTAACCCACCCCCGCGAGGGAGACCAGAGCGGGCCACGTTTGGGTGGGACAGGAAGCCATCAAGGATAGACCCAAGACCCAAGGGTGAAATGGAGGCTGATTCCTCCTGATACCTGCCAAGGAGACTCGCTGAGCCTTCTCAGATACTGTACCTCTGTTTTGAGGCTGCATTCATACCAAACAGAGTGTGTGCCAACAGGGCTATGGTGAGCGCTGCCACTGTGCATGCGTAACACAGCTGCACTCCAAGCGGGTGCAGTCAGAGCCAGCAACTTTGGAGAGCAAGAACAACATCTTGCAGAGAACGATGGGACCCTCCTCTCAGCACCTGGTGAATGTGTGGGCTGCAGCTGATCCACTCGTCAACACACCTGTTTTTTGAGAGAGGCTGCCATAGAAGCACTGGAAGCAGCACTCGGACCAACTACAGGCAGGAGGACTACAAGATGAAATCTGGAACCCACCCACAGACATCACTCTTGCAGGCACCTGTTGACAAGGGTAACGTCCCCAGGTAGAGAGCAGGTCTACTGGCATTTAGCTGGAGAAACTAAATCCTAGGATTTCCGGACAGCGGGTTGAGAGCGATCCTTGCAGGGCTCTGGGCTTGCAGCCCCTGGACGTCCTTGACGGTCCATCCCCAGGTGAGATGGGCCCCCAGCCAAAGCTGCCGAGATCACCCCGGCTCTTCCTTCCTAGCTAAGGGCTCCTTCCTTTCCTCTACGGCAGCCGCCCTCGGCCTTTTCTTGTTGGCCACAGCCACAAATACAATCTAAAAGAGAAATAGGTTGAATTGAAATAGGTGGTGCGTGGAGAACAGTTTCCAGCCTCTGACACCCATCCAAGGTGTCAGGGGGCCCCAGGCAGCCATATAGCTCTCGCTGAGAAGAACTGCTCTATGGTGCCGGGAGCCATGCTGTGTTGGGTAAGGAAGCAAAACCTATGGCTGGAGCGCTCAGGTCTGGTCCCTTGCCCCTTTTGGATGGAAGGTGTGTGTTGCGATGGCCAAACCCTCTACCTGCAAGGCTGGAAGCTGCCTTGGCTGGAAGGGGGAGGAGGGGACAGAGAACTGGTGGATCAGTCCAGAGCCGGAGCCGAAGAAGGCTTCAGCCCCCAACCCACCCCCCAGCGGTCCAGAGAGTACTGCTCAGAATGCAAACCCGTGTCGGCCATGGAAGCCAAGGGCACTGAATCATTATGGCAGTTGAGACAAAGCGCCATGCCGTTAGGAGACAAAGACCGTTCTAATGAAAAAGGGCATCCGTCACTGGATCTCGCCTCACTCAGACCTTCTACCCGAACCCATCCATCTTCCGTGCCAAGAGATGACAGAAGCTGGGCCCCCAACACCCACACCCACCACACACAGGCCGGTTCTCCGCCCCCCCCTCGGCACCCCAAATCCCCCCTGCAACAAATGACTGGCTGGAAAATGGCCTCATTTCTCTCCGTGTGTGCCTGCCAAGCTCCAGGGAACACCCTGTTGGCCACCATGGGCCGCGAGGCGGTCTCATCAATGGGCAGAACCCTTGCAGACACCTTCACGAAGACACGCTTTGCAACTGGAATCCCAGGCTATGCCTGTGAGAAAGAGCACTTGCCCGCTCCAGAAATACAACAATCACATACACACACACAGAGAGAGAGAGCGAGAGAGAGAGAGAACAGAATGGCAAACCCTCCCCTTGGCATTCTGTGCAAACAAAAGCTCCAGCCAGCAGGGTCAGACCCCTGTATCGGGACTTCCTTCTGTTGGCAACACCTGCCCAGAGCCCGGGCGCCACTTGCCCCGGACTGTCTTCCCGCCCCTTGGGGCAAGCTAACCAGAACTCAAGGTAGCTACTTCCTGGGGTCATCGGGGCCATTTCTTTTCCACCGGGGGACCCCAACTCGATCTCTCCCATCTCTGTTGTGCAAAAAAATGGTCCTCAGAGGGACTAGGTGGGTTGATGACCGGCGGCAACGGTGGCGGCGGCGGCGGCCATGGCGGCCGCAATGGCAGGGAGGAAGAGGAGTCTCCGGAAGCCCCTCGCTCAT